ATAGATACTTGCTTGAAACTCCAATGATTTCCGTTAATGATGCCATCCAACCAATTTCATTTGGTAACTGGAAGAGTATGGAACTCTCGCCTGGTCGAGTTTGCTAGCCTTCTCGAATTTGTTGGATTTCTGTCAGAAGCAGTCAAAAAGTCGCCCACAGCGGAAAACTGGGCTCGGAATTGAATGACCCTGGACCGCAGCGGGCGGAAGGTGAATTTCGAAGAATGAAATTTCTGTAGAAGAGCCATCGCCCGCATGTGGAGATAATAGAATTTTCGGATTTATTTTCGGGTTGGTGGTAGGTGGCAGGTTACAGCCCAGAACCGCCAATCCCCCAATGCTGCAATCGCACGTGGCAGGGAAACATTTATGAGCAATTTATGCAGGGCTATAAAATGTGAAAAGAGTTCTTCGGCTCTGCAAAAATCTCCTTTCCTCTCTTTATTTCATAGTGCTGGTCGTGTATTGGGTAAATCGACAAAGTGACATAAATTATGCGAGACTCGCTCGCACTTCCTCCACCTCATTGTGCATCACCGGCATATATACACATATTGGTACTTTCTTGGGGTCTTTGTGAGCTACTGCAATATTTATATGGTATATACTCAGTATGGTAAAGAGCCTCATGCTCGTCGAAAATTTGTTAGTTTTTCCCGCCTCACCAGTCGCCCAACAAATTTTCGCATTTGTATTTCATATTTGGGGCTTCTGGCCTATTTCGTCTCTTGCCAAAAACAGTGTCCAATCATTTGGCTTCGTTTGGTTTGGCCTGCACACACAAAATCCCGGTTTGTGTTGTCCGCTGTTTTGTAGCGTAGTGGAAAACCTATAAACATTGATTAGCCATTAGGGGAACAACACTTGAAAATATATTGAGCATTCATCATGTATGGCAGCACAGGACAGGGGGTTGGTTGGAGTGACCAAAGTTAGACATGACTCAGCAGTGAAGGCGATGGTGTCTGGGAAGTAGAGGACTATGGTATGGGAACCTTAGATAATGACGCATGTGCCGACATGACGCAATTCTCAATGCATACAACGTAGGAAGCAGGCAAGGCTGGGGGCATATTGCAGAATAAATAGGCCTTCTAACATCAGATAAATCTGTTGATCAAATATTATTGTGAGTCCTTAATTTTCTTCTAATATTATTCTTTTGTAGTACTTACATGCTGTTAATGAGTTATACAACTGAATATGTAATGCTGATCAAGATATACATCATGTTGTTAGTAATGTATCCCCAACTATGTTACCAACTATTTACAAAACCTTTTTGGTACACATACGCTACTAAATAGGAAGTGGCCAGTCCTTCTGATGGCGTTTTATCGTCCTCGACATTTGTATTCGTCCAGCGTCTCGCCTCTGTCCTGTTTTAATGAATTTCTATTTCTGAATTTCTATTGCTAAATCCGTTAATCATGGATTATTGTTAGCTCTTTATTTTCTGAGAAATATAAATACAATTAGGATGTAGTTCTTACTGTAAATGAGAAATAAAACCGGATACTTGATGCTACTTTATGGTGTTAGTGATTTATCCTCAACTGTGTTACCAATTTTTAAGCTTTTTGGTACGCCTATGTATTTAAGAGCTCTGTACGTGTGAGAGGAAGTGTTATACCTTAAAGGATCAGTCCTTCTGATGGCGTTTTACCGACCTCCTTTTTTTTTAAATCGGCTTATTTTTCCCTTTCCCTTTCCCTTTCCCTCGTTCTCCGTCTCGCCTTTGCCCTGTTTTAATTAATTACAATTCTTATCGCAGTATACATATCGCTGCGTTCGCATCGTGTCCAATGTTCGATGTTTTTGTCCGCGTCCGTGTCCGTGTGTCTCGGCTCATCAGGCTCGTCTTATCTGCTCGGGGCAATCAGGCGCAGCATTGTTTTCACTGTCGACCCTCCTTTTGGCCCTCCTTTTCCTCGTCTGTTGGCCTGGCCATCTACAGGGCTGTCACAACAAAGAACTCCCATCCGAGCCGTGAAGTCAGTTATTTTCTGCGCCTCGTTTACTTTGCTTTCGATTCGTTTTAATTGTTATTGTCTCTCTGTTTTCTACTTTTCACCCAACTCTGGTATGTCCTTCAGCTGTAGTCCCTCCTTCTCCTGCCCATTTAAGTACGCCCTTCGCCTTGAGGTTCATCTTCATCTCGAGCTTGTTTTTCCTCGCCATCCACTTCATTCAATACGCAATTAATGGGTGCAAGTGCTTAATTTCTTTTTAATGTGTTTATATTATGCATTTCCAAACATTTTAGCCTCTTTTCGTCAGTTGCGCCCCTCGAACAGTTGCACTTTCTGCCCCTCTTTTTCTGGCTGGCGAAGAAGAGCATTCATTTGGCTATGCAAACTTTTTCAACGCGCTATGCTGCTTTACTGGCTTCAAGGGCTCGGCAACAGCGAGCGAACGAACGACGTCAAGTGGCTTTTTAGCTACATCAAAATCAACACTACTCTCTGCCCTTCCTTCCCTCGCCGCCCATGCAATACAGAGTGGCTTTTAGAGAGGGGCGCCCAGAATTATGCAACTATTTGCTGCAAACAAGAGGGGCAAGCAGCAAGCGGCAGTGGGAATAGGCAGTAGTCGTAGTCAAGGCGCCTATCAGTAATCATCCATGGCAAGCGGAAGCGGCGTCACGAACAGGAACATTCAGGTGGCGGGGCTTCAGAGGATGTTGAGATGGGCAGACGGGGGACGTAGGACACAGGAAACAGATGTCTGTCTGTCTGTCTGTCACGTCTGCATTCGATTACCTGGCTGTCGGGCGCTCAATCGCAGCGAGTGCACTGGCTAATGGGTGAGGGAATCGGAATCGGAATCACAGGGCCCTCGGCTGTATCGAATCCTGCGACATCGTCTGTGTGTGGGGATGCGGAAAATATGAGATTGGTAAGGGATACCACATAGGTCCTCCAAATAGCAAAGGCCGTAACTTAATCTCGAAATAATCAGATATGCAGTACCTAAACTGGCACACATCCCAAATTGAACAACAGGTTTTGAAAACTTATTTTAAATGGTGAAATGTTCTTACAAATTTCGTTGAGATTGAACAAAAATTTACAATAAAACAATATAAACTTAATTTTCCTCCAACATTATTTGTCTGTTTTGCATACTATTATTCCATAACAATTAAAAAATGCAGATTTTATTTTTGTTTTACATAATTGTGGGTTTTGTCCATACATAAAAGTGTCATTTAATGTTCTTAAGGTAAAGAAATAAGTTACCTTTTTTACTTTACTTTACTTGTTATGATGTGACTAATTATCCTCCAAATTCATAGTGGTGACAAAATAATTAAATTTGTATTTTAAAGCAGGTCACCCTTAAGTAACTGTAATTACTATCCTTGAATAAACTGGTTCGTCGGAAAGAAAGCTTATTTCAAGGGAAGGTTTGAGGGTTAAACCAAATGGTAAATATAAATAAATAAGCGTCGTGTCGAGTGTGGTCCTTGAAATGGGCCAGTTGAAGTCTCATACACAGATATTAACGCATAAATACTAAATAAGCGTGGGAGGTTCTGTAGCGTTTCCGCTGTTTCTTCTCCGCTCCAAGTGGCTTCATTCGCTCGATGATTGCTCAAACGAGCATGAGAGAAGGATCCTATCGCATATATTCCTTCCATATATATGTGTATACTATATATATGCTGGCGTCGCATATCCTGGGCGCTTCCTCATTATTTTTGTGCAATCGCTGTAGGCGCTTTTGACTGCCGTCTGCCCCTTTTTCTCGGTGCCTCCTGCTGCCTACGCTTTATTCTTCGCTTTTCTTTTTGTTTACCCACACAATGTCCTGATCCTGACTGAATCTGACCTTATTGTGTGTATGGGAGTGTGTGTGCGTGTGTGCGCGCTGGTTGAAAAAGTGTTAAGACTTTACGTTTTTATGGCTCGAGTTCACTTTTTTAGCCGCTTTTGTTGCTGTTGCCAGCCATTTGTGCAAATTGCCGCAGTGAGCGGTGACAGGCGGCGGTCGGAAGGGTAATATTGTTATATTTTTCTGGGTTAGGCTCGAGCCAGTGCCTTCCCTTTTCCACCTGGCCGATGATCTGAAACCATCTTCCATTAAATGATGTTGCATGACAGCAGCATTGCCGCCGAAAAGCACTTAATTTGCATCTGACGAGGAAGTTAAGCACTCATTAAGGCATCGTTTGAATATCGTTTCCCCACAACGATGTCAGTGTCTTCATGTTCATTAAATATTCAAGGACTTAGGGATACTTTACAATCTGTCAGATCTCCCAGACATCCAGACACCAGACTCTTCAACCTGTCACATAGGGCTTTAAGCCTGAGCTTCAAAGTGCCCCAAAAATAATTCGATAAACACAACGGCACACACCTACCCCTGGTTGTGCCCGTTGAGCTTTTCATGCCGCGTTGCATACGCATTAATGAAATTTAGCCCACGAACAGGAGCACGGAACGAAAGGCCAGGCGAAAATGTGAAAAATTTGAAAAGCTGACTTGAGCATGATGGAGGGGTCAGGGGCCGGGCCACGCCCTCCTGAGAGCTGTGTGCCGTGCGTCGAAAGTCGGACTGCTGACTTAATTTGTTTGCTAAATGACATAATACACAGCCACAACAGCAGGCCAAACAAATATCAAAAGGCGTTCGGGGTGCGTCTAGTCCAGTCATTCGGGGCGTATGCGTAATGCGACCTCGGCCAATCCCCGTCCCCGTTCTTTTTTTTTTTTGACCCCCGCGCTGACAATTTATCAAAACAGCGGACATTGCACATAATTACACAGCACTAATGTGTAGAGTGATAAATGGTCCCAAGATAAACAGAATGATCTCTACAATCATTTCGATTCAATCAGTTTCCTCATTGGAATTATATACTTACAGTAACACAGTCAAGGGTATTGATGAAAGCTACAGTAACTTGGTGATCTAATTTACGGTTTGATTGACTTTTAATTATTAACTCTTGACCTCTTTTTCTAATGCCATTTTACTTTGTTTCCTTGCAGGTTTCCTCTCCTGGGACGTTTCCGATTGTCACGTCGACTTGGAAGAGGAGCTCAATACAATTACACAGCATGCGCCCGAGGGCGAGGAGGCTCGTCACGGTAAGTCGAGATCCTGTCCTTGCAGCTGTATATTTTGCAAGGCAACTTCAATTAGCAAAACCGGTTTGGCAATCGCTGTGCTATTTAGAGATCATCGAATCCATGCAACAAATGAGCTGTGGCAAACTACAAAAGTTATTCCAACGAATTATTATGACAATTGTCCGTTCACAACAGTTAGAGAGAGGAGGGCTCAGATGAACAACAATTGAAGGCACAAGCCGAAAGCTCAACGCTTTCATGCTTTGTTGTTCGACTTCTTTGTTTGTTTTGGCTTTTGTGATAAATCCGAGCCCAAAAGCTGCTAAACGAGAGGCTGCATTTTCATTTGCCCAAGTGCAACAACAGCAAAATCATCATCATCATCATCGTCATCGCCATTGCCATTGCCATCGACAGGAGCAACAATAAGGCTGCTGACGGCACTGTTGTCTTTGCGGATTAGTATTAAACGCTGTTGAAACGCACTCAAGTGGCTGCCGCTGCATAAACCAAGTTCCGCATCCGCGAGCCTCGCTGCTCTATTTACCCATTTCGTTGACTTACTCTGGAGATGATTGGGATGTGCTTCCATCCTCCTAGTCTTGTTAAGCATCGTCATTTCCGAAAAATCTTGCAGTCTTGAATTCGCCTTATAGGTTCTGTCAGTGTCGAAACATATTTAAAGTATTTATATTCCTTGAAAATACGCTTCAAAAGAAAATGTTCAGCGTTTTATAGGGCATTTGTTAACAGCGCAAAATGGAATTGACAAGTTTCTCATATGTACAACTTACTCCGATTTATTAGTTTCCCAAATAATTAGTACACATACTTTTGATTTCTCAAGACTCCAGCGTATGAAATCTTTTTTCATTTTAACTATAGTACGCTTGAGACGGCCATGTCCTGGCAGCGATAAGGCGCGTTCTTATTCTTAGCAGGCCTCTTGTTTGACGCTGATGCCGAGGCGTTGTCCTTGAAGGACATGCTAAGTGCAACACCTGCGCTCAATGCCCTCTATTCAGCCATTGTCCGGATGAGAAAAAGTTGGCAACGCCAGCGGATTTCTCATTTTTCATTTTCCATTTGCATTTGCATTCGCCATCGCATTTTGTTTGCGTTCCATCCACTTGTTCCCACCCCACTCGAAACTACTCAAACAAAATTCTCAAGTGGCACTGCCACAAAGCGGTCCAAAGCCCAATAATGATGGTGCAACAGCCATAAGCATAACCAGTGCGTCGGAGGAGCGCGGGCAGGTGGTAGGTAGGCGCACTTGAGGCGCGATTGAGAATGCACAGAATACACTCGCTTCGCCGGGCGCGTTGTGCTCGCCCAAAATTTTCAGTTTCCCGACGACCCTTTTATAGGGGAATGGCGGTGTCCACCTGAATGCCTGGCTGCTTTTGGAGCAGATGGACTTCTCAAACTTGCCAAGGAACGGTTTTCTCCACTGACAGACATTTGTTAGCATTCGCATAATTCATGAACACCCAACTACTCTCTCCTCACAAAGTTATGCCCAAAGTTGGCCTGAAGCTGAAGCTGACACTGACCCTCAACCTCATCAGCACCTTCCTTCTCTTTGCCTAGCCCCAAAACTGAACTTGATGCAGTTTATTTAACTTTCCTTGTGGGACGCTCAAAGTTCGCCAGCTTTGAAAGCCCATCCCATCAAGAAAACGACCCCACGACTCCTCAAAGTAACAAAGTCCTTCTCGGTTAGAAAAAAAAAACGGTATTTTTTGCGAACAGGATGCAAGAAGGAATAAGACTCTTTGTTCTCTTATTTACATTAGTGTTTTCCCAGACGCACAAGTATTGCAGAAATCGAATATAATTTCATATATTCTCCTCGTGCTCTTACCGTGTTCTGGTCACTCGTTGCTTGCTATTTTAACTATTTATCAACTTAGTCGATACTCGTCATTCCACTTTCCTTCTCGTTAAAGTGTTTTTGAATTTTCGGGGCCTGAAATTTGCCCATTATTTTGAATGTACACTCGCCAAACCTTATCTCCCTTCGAACCTACTATTCCCCATGTCTCTCGCATACGTACCTCTTGTTAAACCCGCTTTTAGGATTATGTGGGGATTTAGACACATTCTTATCGTACCTAAGCTGAATTCCACATAAGCAATGAAAAGATGGGCTGATGAGGGGGCGTGGCACAATAGGACGCCAAAGCCGTATCTCGACCCAACCTAACCTCAAAAGCCATACAAATTCTCGAGATAAAACGTATGCAAAATTGATAGAAAGATAAAGTCCGTTCGAGCAGAGCCTACACACAGTTATTCGAAAATAAGGATATATGAGGGGAATGAGTTGGAAAGTGAGTGGGAGTCACGCATACAGGCGTGCCTACAAGGCCGCATTGACAATGGCCGTGTGAGTGGCGGCTCATGCATAATTCAGTCGGAGAACAAGACGGCTATATGGCGGCCGAAAGAGACGGCAGTTAGGCAAATAGCAAAGGCAGACTTCTAGACTGACAGACTGACACACAAACATTCAATTTGTATACCCCGTACTCGTAGAGTAAAAGGGTATATTGTTCGTTGAAATATAATATATGTTAGTGGTAGAAGAATATATATCAGGATCAATTCCCAATTCCGTCTATCTCTTAGTCTGTCCGTCCGTATAAACGTCGAGATAAAACTATTAAAGCTCCCAAATTTTTAACATTTAGATTCTAGATACGCCTACGCAGCGCAAGTTAATTAGACTAATTATTTGGCGTGTTAATTTCGGTCATATCGATCGAGACACCCAAAATGTATTCAAATCAAATCATTAGCAAAATCATTACTTCTTGGATATTTACAATGATGCTTTTTGTAGTGATTATTTTCTGGGGGTATATTTATTTATTATGAAACTTATAAGCTATGTAAGGGGTATTTAATAGTCCAGTCAGTTGACTATAGCGTTCGTTCTTGTTGGTTTTTCACAAGATTTGCATATGGGAGAAAGGGAAAGTGGAATGTGAGGTGGGAAAACTGGTCCAGCAGCGATAAGCAAAAAAAACTATAATGATGCAGTGCGAGAAGCAGCGTCCATGGCTGGCGTAGATAAAGGAGTGTCTGCGCCTGCCTTCCAGCGCCCGGAATGCGGGTAACATGTTGACAGGGCATCAATTAATATCAGCGAGGGGGCCAAACTGACGTCTGTCATTTGCGGAGACTCTTCGCGCCGCATCCTTTCGAATATGGCTGAAAGGAAAAATGAGAAGACATGGCCGCCTGACTTTAATAACATGTTATTGGCTTTGTTCAACAGGAGCATATATCTCCTCGCCGTCCCGAAACCCGAGTGTTCCGATTGCCCCGATTGCCCCAAGTCCATCCACATTTACGTAACCAGAGAAAATTCAGGCATATTAAATGCCCTGATTAATGATGCCAGTGCCGGTGGCTTCCCTCCTGGCTGGCTGCCATTGATATGACTGTCTGGCACGTGTACACTCACCCAACTTTTTTTGCAATGCAACTGAAACCGCTAATTAAACTATCATCATAATTCCCAGGGATTAGTGCACTGGAAGTTTATAAATATGGCCATGCTGACAGGCCGGGATAAGCGCAGCCAATAAAGGCGTTTGGGCAATCAGGAGCTCAGCTCGGGTTTGTGGCGAACTCCAAGATGAGCCGTGGGAAATTAACAGCTACGTGAATATGCACAGTGTTAGTATACATAATTTATCAGCTAAGGGGGATAACCTGACAGGACAGAATGGCCTGGCCATCCACTGACCATCCACTCGGGACCATCAGTGCACATTTGTCACACTCTCTGACTCTTCCAAAAAACCATAATTAGTTGCAGTGAGGAATAAACATGGGACTGGGAAACAAGTATATATTAACGAGGGTGCTCAAATTTACGATTTGGATTAGCGATACAAAAAACTAAATTTAATTGTTGTTAATTATTTAGAAACTAGTCACTGAGGCTATTAGCAGTCTTAAATTTAAACTCAATGAGTTGCCTAATCATTTCATTTGGAAGACTTTCTTGTTTTTCGGCGAAGCTCGAAATAAAAAGGGCGCTAGAGGTCATTGAAAACTTTATTTAACACGTGCGCGCTGGTTTGACAGTAAACTTTTTCCAACTGCGTTGAAGAGTAAGGTTCATGGCGGTGGGTAAAAGTGGGTGGAAAAGCTCAAGAAGGACTGACCGTCTCCGCCTGTAACTGTAATTATATTGCAGCCAAACAAAAAGATCAGAAAAAAACGAAATCATAAAACATACAAAGTTTCCAGCTGCTGTTGTTATGCAAATTTTTTTTCCCCATTTCGCCTTTTGTTTCGAGAAAAAAAGTTGGTAACTCTGGCCACGGGTGCAGTTATTAACGCTTAATCTGCCGCCATGTTGGCCAGTTTGGCACGAGGTGCGGACAGAATCCTGGCCTGCTATTCCCTGGCTCGTAATTTAAGCCCGACTGGGTACTCTCCTGCTTCCGTTCGCTATTATTTGTTAAGTGGGGAACGGAGCCTGCCCGGCGGCTTGGCTTTAAGCACTTTGCAGCAACTTTTCGTTTTTTGTGGGTGTGCGGCTTGGCCAACTTTGGCGACGCTTCAAGTGAACACCTCACCCCCTGAAAACCAAATCTGCGGTGGCAAGCTTAACTTTTCAAACGCCATCTGCCACTGGACATACGAAACTGGAAGGCGAGTGCTGCTACAATTTACTGGCAAGGGTATTGTTTCCATTAAGGACGATTCAGTTTTAAATTACAAGGAAAATCAAATCCGGAAGACGAACGTTGTTCATAATTTTCCACCAATATAGTTTAGGTTGATCGATCGGTGCCCCACTTGAAGGCGGGTTCAATTGGTGTATACTTAGAATACAGTGCACATGCAGTGCCTAGAACGCAAAAGGAAATTCCTAGAAAAATGACAGTAAGCTTGAAGACCTTTTTCAGTTGAAACCTATTGCATTTGAGTCCATATTCCATTCCAATCTAATGTTTTCCCCATCAGGGACTGCCTTGACGTGTAGGCTACTTGGCAGCGACAAGATGCTAATGTCGCCTTACAGTTTCTTTTTCCCAAGGCGCGACGTCTATGGCTTTGTTATAAACTAAACATTTTTACGATTATACCCTAAGCAAGAGACAGTGGGAAGAAGCAGAAAAGTTGTAGTCGGCTCTTGGGGCAATAGTCGACCTAAATTTACCAAATTGCGTATACGCACGGAGTGCCGGGAGTCGCATATATAGTATATACTCGCCTATATATGTATTTCTCACTGCGTTCGTTGTTTTGTGCTCCGTGCGATAAATATAAGCCGTAGGAAAACATACGCAGGTCGGGTTGGGTCTTCGAGATTATCATTTATAAAAAACACAAGGGATACACATGGCCGCAGGGCCAACAGCAGGACGAAGCCATACAAGCCAATCCAAGCCAAGCCATCCACGAACACGATGACAAACACCCCACCACCCCACCGATGCTCTTGTCTTGTATTTTTTACGCGTACGTGAGCACATTTGACCACTGCCCCTAGAATTGGAGGTGGTGGTGCACCCACTCGTCCTCCATGCAGTTGGCTTGTCAACGACTATTTAGGGCGGAAAATGCGTAAATAATTTACGTACGTACGCATTCGCATAAAACCATTTCGGACGAGGGCGACCGAAAAAGCCTCATCATCGCCCTATCTGCATTATCATCATCATCATCATCGTCATCATTGTGGTTAGGCGGGGTGAGTGGAGGGGAGCCAAGGTCGCCGGCAAGGTCGCCACAACCTGAACACAAAACTGAGGCTAAGGGCTTCATTAAAGCATTAAAATTAAAGATTCATTAAATAATTTCTAGCCATGCCAACTGGGCCTCGAGGGGCTGCAGTGAGTGTGACAGCAACAGCAGTAGTTGAGACAATGAAGCCAACTCTTGACAATCGAAATCCACTTGATGCGCCGCGCGTGCTCGAGTCCGGGTCCGTGCCTGGCATCTCTGGCAGCACCTCTGACCGCCCGTTTACCCGTTTATTCGTTAGGTGAGGGATTGCGGGTCCCAGACGCTTTGACTGGCCTGACGGAAGGAGGTCAGCCCACAAAAGAGTGGAATCGCTTACCCTAATCCCGCCAACTCCATTTCCGATATAAATCTACTGCTGTGGGACACATAAAAAAAATTGATAAGAAATGATACTAATTTTGAAGAAATGCTATATAGATCTGGTCTTGATAAGCGAAAAATTGCCCTTTTTAGTATTAATTTCAATGGTAAAGATAATACATGTTTGTTGCCCTGTTAATATCAAATTGAAATTTGCATTTTTTTTTTTAGAAAAACATTTCATATGCTGTTGTCGCTGCTTTGGGTTTTAATGCCTCCTGTATACTGCTCGAAATATAAAAAACCACTATACACCATTCTGCACGTGCAGCTGTACCGTCTATAACAAGCTTTTGCTGCTTGATGCTTAACTGAGGCAAAGCAAAACGTATTAAAACAACATTGTTTAACCCTTTTAATGCAGGCGAACGACTCATCCAATATGCCAGCGAGAATCTAGTGACGGAGGTGCTCATCCACCCGCAGTACAACACGCTTATCCAGTGTATGCGCAACCTGCTTAGCAGCTTTACCCGCCACCGGCACATCATTCATGCCGGCTACACCTTCAGTGGCAATGGTTCCTGGATACTGCAGGTCTTGTTGTCCTCTACTTGCCCCCTTTTCTTGCTCCTTATGTGACCCTCATATGCGATTTCATTGCAGGACGGAACCTTCTCTGTGGCGGACTTCTCTGAGGCCCTTCAGGAGCACGACGTACAAAGGGTAATCCGCGCTTACGCGGACACCATCACCATGAACATCCACTGCGCGGACGCGGGTCTGTGGCACACTCTCCCCGAAAAGGCCTTTGCGCGCCAGTGCCGGATCCGGATCAATCCTGTGGACGTCCTGGACACGAGCAGCGAGAGTATCAACGGGTTTTTAGGTAAGACTGTACGCACCTGACCAAATACCCAGCATGATCCGAAACTACAAATTTTGTATGCTTGTACATTTGTATACCCTTATAGAAGTTTCAGTCAATTTCTTGTTAATTTTGCTGAAAGCCTCTGTTTAAATTTTTTGATATTTTTTATCACCTGACCTACGGAAATATGACATGGCATTTATCGATTGCCTTTTTTCACAGATTACTTGGCGCCCATGGTGATGCCGACCTCGCTGAGGGAGCTGCTCGAGACCTCGGACGTTGTGGGCAACATCCGCTTCACGCATCCCACGCTATACGTATTTCCCGGCGGCCAGGGTGACGCCGCGCTTTTCGGGATCAACGGCTTCAACATGCTGGGTACGTATAGTACATATATGTTAATATATTACCTTTTTACTCAAACTCACCTTTTTAACTGAACAGTTGATGGCGGTTTTAATCGGAAGGCTTGCTTTTGGGACTTTGCTCGGCACCTGGACCGACTGGACGCGGTCCTGATGACGCGCCTCAACAACAGCAACGTGCAGGGCCTGGGGGCGGTGGTGTCGCGCAAGCGGGACTCCCACGTCTACCCCCAGATCGGCCACTTCTTCGGCAACGTACCTGACCGCAAGGGGCTGCCCAGCCCCGACGGCGACAAGGATCGCGACCCGCTGCTGATCGATCTGTTCGAGCGCGGACACGGGATCGTAAGCGACCTGAAGGCACTGGACCTGAAGCCGCAGGGCTGTTACCGCAACCAGGAGCCGGTGAACCTCTACCACAAGGTAGGCCACGGCACCCTTGACATGTATGTGATCAGCCCGGCACGCGACTCCAAGGAAGTGAAGGACTTCCTGCAGAAGTGGCACGCCGGCGACCAAAGGCTCTTCGCCGCCCGGGAGTCGCGCGACTTCAACTTCCCACTGCAGAACCTGGTGTCCATTTGCGCGCTGCTCGTGTGGCAGCCGGCCAACCCGGACGACACCATCACCCGCATCCTCTTCCCGGGCAGCACGCCCGACTTCAAGATCCAGGAAGGCCTCGAGAAGCTCAAACACCTGGAGTTCATGAAGCACTCGACCTGCACAGCCAAGTCCATTGCCCCCGCCATCCAAACGGTGGCCGGAACGCGCAAAAGCCTGAAGTCTGCCATTGAGGCCACGCCCGCTCCGCCCAGCGCCAGCTACAAGTCCTCAAAGTTCGGCCCCGTGGCCAGTGCTGCCATAGCCGTCCAGCATCCGCATCCGCAGCAGCAGCAGGACAACAAGGCAAAGGAGGCGGCCAAGGAGGCCGCTGCATCCATAGTCCGCACCAAGGCCGATTCCATCGACACGGACGTAGAGCAGGAACCCGAACCCGAACCCGCTGACACTGGGGACGAAGGAGCTCCCACGGAGCAGGAGCCCGAGGCTGACACGGAACCCGAGCACGAAGCCGAGCAGGAGCAGGACAACAAGGATGCCGGGGAGGAGAAGAAGGTGGAAGTGCTGATCATGAAGTCCCAACAGGCGACAGCACCTGCAGTCTCTGGAAAGGATGCGCCCGATGCAACCCCTGCCGATGCCACGATGCCGGCCGGAAAGCAAGCGGGCAAGGGGTCGTCCAAGTCGTCAAAGGCGGAGAAGCCACGCGCGGAGGTGAAGCCCGTGGTGCGCTCCCGCATCGACACCAAGCCGCCCAAGTCCATGGATCGCAAGCTGGCCAAGCGGGACGAGAAGAAGAGCTCGCCGACGGCCACGCCGGCCGCCCGGGCACCGCGCGATGTCAAGCCCAAGGTGCTGAGCCGCCCGGCCACCAAGTCCAGTCCGAGCAGCACCCCCGCCAAGAGCGCCAAGGAGGCCAACAACCGCAAGGTGCTGGAGTCCAAGCAGCAGGCGGCCAGGGTGCAGGCCACCAGCACGGCCTCCAGGAGGCAGGTCACTACCAGCACAGCCGCCAGTGAGAAACGAGTCGCCCAACAGCAGGCGGAGGCAAAGACGGCCACACAATCGACGGCCACCCAGAGGAAGCCCATCTCACGAAGGCCGCGCGGTGTGTCGCCCTCGAAGCGAGCACCAGCACCCGGCAGTCCGGTCAAGCAGGCCAAGCCAAAGGCGGCGGCTGCGGCGGAGCTGAAGAAGGCGCGCCTGGACAAAGGCGGCACCACCGACTCCAGCCTGGTGTCCACGCCTTCGGCAGATGAGGCCACGGCCGCCAAGAAGCTGCAGGACCTGACCGCCTCCCAAGAGCTCGACGCCGAGAAGCAGCGCGAGCTGGACGACCTCAAGGAGGAGCAGGAGGTGGTGCGCGAGATCGAGGCGGTGTTCAGTAGGGACGAAATGAAGCGTCAGCAGCACCAGCAGATTAAGGCCGAGCTGCGTGAAATGCCCGCCGAGGGAATCACTGGCGATGGCGAGGATGAGCCCGAGGAGGAGGAGGAGTACCTGATAATCGAGAAGGAGGAGGTGGAGCAGTACACCGAGGACTCGATCGTCGAACAGGAGAGCAGCATGACCAAGGAGGAAGAGATCCAGAAGCACCAGCGCGACTCGCAGGAGTCGGAGAAGAAGCGCAAGAAGAGCGCCGAGGAGGAGATCGAGGCGGCCATCGCCAAGGTAGAAGCCGCCGAACGCAAAGCTCGTCCTGCCCGGCAGGACGAGGCGGAGTTGGAGGTGGAATTGGAGGCGGAGGCGGACCTGGAGCAAAGCGAGATCAAGGCAGAGGTGCAGGAGATCATTGCCACGGCGAAGGACATTGCCAAGTCGCACACCGAGGAGCAGTTGGCCACCAAGCCCGCTGAGGAGGAGTTCTCTTCGCCCACGCCCGAGGAGAAGCTGAGCAAGAAGACGTCGGACACAAAGGACGAGCCAGTCGGCGCACCAGTGGACGTCCTGCCCGTCAATCTGCAGGAGAGCCTGCCCGAGGAGAAGTTCTCGGCCACCATTGAGTCGGGGGCCACCACGGCGCCCACACTGCCCGAGGACGAGCGCATCCCGCTGGACCAGATCAAGGAGGACCTGGTCATCGAGGAGAAGTATGTGAAGGAGGAGACCAAGGAAGTTGAGGCCATCGTTGTGGCAAGCGTGCAGGCTATCTCCAAAGCGGCTCCATCCGCAATCGCGGCCGTATTGGTGGCAACCACCAAGGATGGTCCCAAAGACGCCAAGGCCGAGCTTTTGGGAGAGCTGCACGACTCGGGAGAGCGGGTACTGCCCATGAAGATGACCTTTGAGGCGCAGCAGAACCTGCTGCGTGATGTCATCAAGACGCCCGACGAAGTGGCCGATCTGCCGGTCCATGAGGAAGCCGATCTGGGTCTGTACGAGAAAGATAGCCAGGATGCCGGTGCTAAAAGCATCTCACACAAAGAGGAGTCTGCCAAGGAGGAAAAGGAGACCGACGACGAAAAAGAGACCAAGGAAGCAGAGGTCGAACCGAAAGCTGAACTGGAAAAGGAAGAGCCCTCCAAAATAGAGCTTAAAGAGCCAGCTGAGGAGGATGAGCTCGTTGTGACTGAGGCTGTAATAGAGAGAAGGACAAAAGAGGTCGTTACGGTCGAGACCGAACAGATTGTGGAGACCGATGACCAAAAGACCCAGGAACAGCAACAGGATCAAGTGAAAGAGAAAGAGAAAGAGAAAGAACAGGAGGCGGATCAGCAGGCAGAGCCAGGAATCATCACCGAGAAGGAGGCCAAAAAGTCAGCCAGCACCCCTGAAGAGAAGGAGACCAGCGACATCACCTCCGAAGATGAGCTGCCAGCCCAACTGGCGGAACCGACCACCGTTGCCCCAAAAGAGAGCAAGGAGCGCGAGGACACCATCTCCATGGAGAGTCCCGCCACCATCGAGGAGGCCATAGAGGTTGATGTGCAGGCCAAGCAAGATGCCGCAAAGAGCGCTGGGGCAGACAAGTCGTCACTGGCCTCAAAGGAGGCCTCCCGTCCGGAGTCTGCAACAGGAAGTGCCAAGGACGATGCTGATCAGCCAGAAGCCGACAAGTCCCGTCCCGATTCGGTGGCGGAAGGAACAAAGCCTGATAGTGCAAGATATGAGAAGTCCCCCCTTGCATCCAAGGAAGTTTCTCGGCCGCAATCCGTTGCAGAGATCGTCAAAGATGAAGGCAAGGAACCAGACAGTCGACGAGAATCGGGAAGCGCCAAGGACGAAAAATCAGCACAGGCCTCCAAAGAAGTTTCCCGACCAGGCTCAGTGGCTGAGAGCGTTAAGGCGGAAGCTGACAAGTCCACGGAACCATCCCGAAGGGAATCCGTAGCCGAAAGCACTAAGGCGGAGAGCCATAAGGACGAAAAGTCCAAGCCGGCCTCTAAGGAAGCCTCGAGGCCTGAATCCGCCCTCGGGGATGCCATAGATGAATCCAAAGAACAAAAAAGCCATCGGGCATCTATTGCGGAAAGCGTCAAACCCGAAAGTGCTGAGGACGAAAAGTCTACGACTGCCTCAAGGGAAGTTTCCAGACCAGAATCTGTGGTGGAAAGCACTAAAGACGAGGCAGACAGGTCAAAGGAGCCATCTCGTCGTGAATCAATAGCAGAAAGCGTCAAGGCCGAAAGCGCAAAAGGTGAAAAGTCTCCCCTTGCATCCAAGGAAGTGTCCCGGCCGGAATCCGTGGCTGAAAGCATTAAAGATCAAGCTGAGCAAGTTGATAACCGCCGGGAATCTGTAGCCGAAAGCCTCAAGCCAGACAGTGCAAAGGAGGAAAAGTCCCCACTTGCCTCAAAGGAAGCTTCCAGGCCAGAGTCCGTTGCAGAAAGCGTCAAAGATGAAGCTGAAAAGTCCACTGAACCATCCCGTCCGGCATCAGTTGCAGAAAGTGCCAAGGGAGAGATCGCAAGGGATGAGAAGACCGCTGATGTCGTAGATAGCCGCCGGGAATCTGTAGCCGAAAGTGTCAAGCCAGACAGTGAGAAGGACGAGAAGTCTCCACTTGCATCAAAGGAGGCATCGAGGCCAGAATCCGTTGCAGAAAGTGTCAAGGGAGAGAGCATAAAGGATGAGAAGTCCGCTCAAGCCTCAAAAGAAGTCTCCCGGCCAGAGTCAGTGGCTGAAAGTGTTAAAGCTGAAGCTGAAAAATCAAGGGAACCATCTCAACGGGGATCCGTTGCAGAAAGCGTCAAAGATGAAGCTGAAAAATCTTTTGAACCATCCCGGTCGGCATCTGTTGCACAAAGCGTCAAGGGAGAAAGCACAAAGGATGAGAGGTCCTCTGAAATCGTAGATAGTCGTCGGGAGTCAATAGTCGAAAGTGTCAAGCCAGACAGTGCAAAGGACGAAAAGTCTCCACTTGCTTCAAAGGAAGCTTCCAGGCCAGAATCCGTTGCAGAAAGCGTCAAGCCAGACAGTGTAAAGGACGAAAAATCTCCACTTGCTTCAAAGGAAGCTTCCAGGCCAGAATCCGTTGCAGAAAGCGTCAAGCCAGATAGTGCAAAGGACGAGCAGTCCCCACTTGCATCTAAGGAAGCGTCCAGACCAGAATCCGTTGCAGGAAGCGTTAAAGATGAAGCTGAAAAGTCTATTGAACCATCCCGCCCGGCATCAGTTGCAGAAAGCGTCAAGGGAGAGAGCATAAAAGATGAGAAGTCTTCTGAGATCCTAGATAGCCGCCGGGAATCTGTTGCGGAAAGCGTTAAACAAGACAGTGTAAAGGACGAAAAGTCTCCACATGTATCAAAGGATGCTTCCAGGCCGGAATCCGTTACAGAAATCATCAAGCCAGACAGTGTAAAGGACGAAAAGTCTCCACTTGCATCAAAGGACGCTTCCAGGCGCGAATCCGTTGCAGAAAGCTTCAAAGATGAAGCTCAAAAGTCTATTGAACCATCCCGACCGGCTTCTGTTGCAGAAAGCGCCAGTGGAGAGAGCAAAAAGGAAGAGAACTCCGCTCAGGCCTCCAAAGAAGCCTCCCGGCCAGGGTCTGTGGCAGCAAGTGTTAAAGATGAAGCTGAACAATCAAAGGAAGCATCCCATCGGGAATCGTTAGCTGAAGCGAAGTCCCCTCTTGCATCGAGGGAAGGATCAAGGCCCGGATCAGTTATTGAGAGCGTCAAGGACGAAACTGAAAGGCCCGAGAGCCGACGTGAGTCAGTCGCGGAAAGCATCAAGGCAGAGAGTGCCAAGGACGGAAAGTCTCCCCTGGCCTCAAAAGAAACTTCGAGGCCAGAATCAGTGGTGGGGAGCATCAAAGACGAGCTAGATAAATCCAAGGAGGAATCCCAAAGTGAATCCATGGCTGAAAGCGTCAAGGCGGGGAGTGCCAAGGACGAAAAGTCTGCTCAGGCCTCCAAAGATGTATCGCGTCCAGCATCGGTTGCGGAAAGTGTGAAGGAGGAAGTCGACAAATCCGCAGAACCATCACGACCGGAGTCCGTAGCTGAATTAATTAAAACGGAAATAAGCAAGGTTGGACAGTCACCCATTGCCTCCCGGGCTGAATCTGTGGCGGATAGCGGTAGGGATGACACCGACAAGCACGAATCTGCTGTGGAAACTGGCAAACCAGATAAGGATAGCAAATCTCCGATTGCCTCAAAGGAGATCTCTAGGCCAGAGTCTCCAGATGACAGCGTTAAGGATGAATCTGAGAAGCCAGATTCCTGTCAGGAGTCGGTGGTTGAGAGCGTTAAGCCAGACAGTGCCAAGGACTCCAAGGAACCATCTCGGCCTGAATCAAAGGTGGAAAGCGTGAAAGATGAATCTGAGAAATCCAAGGCACCATCCCGACGAGAATCTGTCCAAGAAAGTGTAACATCCGAAGGTGTAAAGGACGATAAGTTTTCGTTGGCTTCAAAAGAAGTGTCTAGACCGGAATCAGTTGCGGAAAGTACAAAAGATGAGGCATCATCTCGACGGATGTCGGTGGCAGAAAGCGTGAAAGATGCTGCCCAGTCGAAGGAGGTTTCTCGTCCCGAATCAGTTGCAAAATCTCCATTGGCATCCAAAGAGGCTTCCCGTCCAGCATCTGTTGCAGAAAGTATACAAGATGAGGCTGAAAGGACCAAGGCGGAAAGTAATAAGGATGAAAAATCACCGCTGGCATCTAAAGAAACGTCCAGACCGGCGTCCGTTGTGGAAAGTGTGAAAGATGAAGCCGACAAGTCCAAGGAAGCATCTCGGCGAGAGTCCCTGGTCGAAAGCTTTAAGGCGGAAAGCAGCAAGGGTGACCAATCTCCCCAGGCATCCCAGAAAGCATCGCGACCAGAGTCCGTGGCAGAGAGCGCTAAAGACGAAGCTGAAAGGCCAGAAAGTCGTGCCGAATCTGTGGCCGAGAGTGATAAACCGGAAAGTGCTAAGGACGAGGAGTGGACAGCAGCCTCGAAGGAAGTTTCACGACCGGTGTCCGTCGCGGAGAGTGTTAGAGACGAGGCTGACAAGTCCAAGGAACCCTCCCGGCGGTCGTCTGTCGCAGAAAGCGTAAAACCAGAAAGCCCAAAGGTGGACAAGGTTCCACTTGCTTCTAAGGAAGCGTCCCGACCAGTGTCCGTAACTGAAAGTGTAAAGGATGAAACCGAAAAAAGCAAGGAGCAATCTCGAAGGGAATCTGCTGCTGAAAGCCTTAAGGCGGAGAGTGCACAGGTAAAGCTAGTAACATTTTCAACTTAGATTCGTTTTTCCCAAGTCTAAATTTCCAATTTTGGTTTAAATTAAATTATATGATAAAATTTAAATCATTAAAATAAATTATTCGATTTTTGTAGTTCTGTGCTTAATATGTTTCAGGTCATATTGGGCTATTTTATTTTAATTATATTTTTGACTAAATACATAAATATATATTCTTTCTTTTCTTCCAGGACGAGAAATCGCGTCCTTCATCCGTTGCCGAAAGCGTAAATGACGAAGGGGAAAAGCCAGAAAGTCGTCGAGAATCGGTTGCCAAGTCCCCATTAGCTTCGAAAGAAGTCTCCAGGCCAGGATCTGTAGCTGAAAGCAGTAAGGATGAGCTTGAAAAGCCAGAAAGTCGTCGGGAATCGGTTGCCAAGTCACCATTAGCCTCAAAGGAAGTTTCAAGGCCAGGATCTGTAGCTGAAAGCATTAAAGATGAGTTTGAAAAGCCTGAGAGCGTCAAGGACGACAAGTCGAAAGATCCCTCTCGAAGCGAATCGCCGACTGAAAAGTCTGCCGTAATTTCAAAGGAGTCTTCGCCCAGGCCAGTATCTGTGGCAAGTGACCACGAATCTGCCGTCGCTACTGAGGCCGAGTTGAAGTCTTCCATCTCCCCCAAAGAAGCGTCCCGCCCAGAGTCAATTGCTGAAACTGCTTCATCACCAATTGAGGAAGCGGCTTTGGAGTTCTCGGAGATCGAAGTCGTGAAAAGGGCTAGCCTCGCGCTCAGTTTACAAACGGGCTCAGGAGGAAAACTGCCAACGGACTCGAGTCCTGTTGACGTGGCCGAGGGTGACTTTTCTCATGTCGTCGCTTCTGTTTCCTCAACCACAGCCACTCTTGCCAAGCCAGCCGAGCTCTCGCAGGCTGCTGCTGCTGTAACGATCTCGTCTCCTGTAGACGAAGCTCCAAAAACACCGTCTGCTCAGGAGCTGGTATCCCGACCAGATTCCCCTGCAGAATGCGCAAGTGAAGAGATTGTCAAGGATGAAAAATCGCCCCTCTCGAGGACCGGGTCAATTGCAGAAACTCACAAGGACGAAAGCCCAAAGGATGACAAATCTAAGTCTCAAGGTGCCTCTAAGGAATCTTCTCGCCCGGAATCAGTGGCAGAGACAGCATCATCGCCCATCGAGGAAGCACCGAACGACTTCGCACAATTCGAGAAAAAGGGAGTGTTACCTTTGAATATTGACGCAAAGGGTAATCTCCCAACATTGTCGAGTCCTGTGGATGTGGCTCATGGCGATTTCCCCCAGACAGCCACCCCCACAAGCTCCCCAACTTCAGGCCCAACCAAACCAGCTGAGCTTTCCAAAGTAGACATTGAGAAGACAGCATCGAGTCCGGTAGACGAGGCTCCCAAGTCCCTTATTGGATCTCCGGCAGAGGAACGCCCAGAATCTCCTGCTGAATGTGCCAAGCACGATGTTGCCTCAAAAGAGCCGTCTCGGCGCGAATCAATTGCCGAGAGCGTGCAGTCCGAGACTTGTAAGGACGAAAAGTCCCTGCAGACCTCTAGGGAAACGTCCCGACCGGCCTCGGTAGTGGAAAGCATTAAGGACGAAGCCGAAAAATCCAAGGGATCATCACGTTCACCATCTGTTGCAGAAAGCATTAAGGCGGAAAGCACAAAAGATGGTAAGTCCCCTCTTGCGCTGGTAGCGGAAGTTCTTAAAGATGGTGCCGAGAAACTAAAGGAACCATCGCGTCCACCATCTGTTTCAGAAAGCATAAAGGGGACAGCAACTAAGCAGGGCCCTTCGGAAGGAGTAGTGGAAACTGATGCCAAGCCAGCTCTTGACTCTCAACCAGAAGCCGATATTGATGAAGCTGAGAAATCAAAGGAGCCATCCCGCCGAGAATCTGTAGCAGGAAGCGCTAAAGCAGAGAGCACTAATGATGAAAAGTCTCCACTGGCATCGAAGGAAGTCTCGAGGCCAGAGTCCGTCACAGAAGGTCCAAAAGATGATGCCGAGAGGCCTGAAAGCCGCCCAGAATCGGTCGTCGATAGTACAAAGCCAGAAGCCAAAGATGCAAAGTCCCCAACAGGGTCAGCTGCGAAATCAAAGGAACCATCCCGGCGGGAGTCTATAAAAGATGAAAAGTCTCCCTTTGCCTCCAAGGAAGTGTCCCGACCAGCCTCTGCTGTAGAAAGTCTAAAGGACGAAGGCGAAAAGCTGGATAGCCGACGTGAGTCGATTGCTGAGAGCCTTAAAGCAAGTAGTACCAAGGACGATAAGTCCCCGGTGCTCTCCAAAGAAGCCTCAAGGCCAGAATCAGTTGCAGAGAGCATCAAGGGTCAACCGGAGGAATCTGAAAGCCGCCGGTATTCCCTTGTCGAAATCAATAAACCAGATAGCTCCAAGGATGAAGCCTCCCCCCGACCCGGATCCGTTGAGGAAAGTGTCAAGGAAAAATCTAAGGATCCATCCCGATCAGAATCCGTCGCGGAGAGCATTAAGTCCGAGGGTACGAAAGACGAAAAGTCCCCACTTGCTTCAAAGGAAACTTCCCGGCCGGAATCGGTTGCGGAGAGTATCAAGGACGAAGCAGAGAAGTCCGATCAAGCGGAAAAATCCAAGGATGCTTTTCGACGGGAATCTATTGCAGAAAGCATTAAGGACGACAAGTCAGCACTGGCATCAAAAGAAGCCTCTCGACCAGCATCCGTCGCAGAAAGCATTAAAGATGCAGCTGAAAATGCAGAAAGTGAAAGCGTGAAACCAGAAACTAGCCCACAACCCGTTGTAGAAAGCGTCAAAGATGAAGACGACAAGACCGCAATCCGCCGAGATTCAGTCGCCGACAGTACCAAGCCAGAAGAAAAAACTCAGTTTGCGTCGAAGGAAGTTTCTCGACCTGCTTCTGTGATGGAAAGTGTCAAAGATAAAACTGAAAAACCAGAAAGCCGTCGGGAATCTGTTGCAGAAAGCATTAAAACCAGCAGTTCAGTGGAAAAGTCTGCTCAGGCCTCAAAGGAAGTATCCAGACCACCATCAGTCGCACTGAGCGTCGGAGATGAGTTTGGCAATTCCAAAGAAACCTCTCGACGTGAGTCGGTTGCAGAAAGCACGAAGCTAGACAGTACCAAGGACTCCAAGGAACCATCTCGGCCTGAATCAAAGGTGGAAAGCGTGAAAGATGAATCTGAGAAATCCAAGGCACCATCCCGACGAGAATCTGTCCAAGAAAGTGTAACATCCGAAGGTGTAAAGGACGATAAGTTTTCGTTGGCTTCAAAAGAAGTGTCTAGACCGGAATCAGTTGCGGAAAGTACAAAAGATGAGGCATCATCTCGACGGATATCGGTGGCGGAAAGCGTGAAAGATGCTGCCCAGTCGAAGGAGGTTTCTCGTCCCGAATCAGTTGCAAAATCTCCATTGGCATCCAAAGAGGCTTCCCGTCCAGCATCTGTTGCAGAAAGTATACAAGATGAGGCTGAAAGGACCAAGGCGGAAAGTAATAAGGATGAAAAATCACTTCTGGCATCTAAAGAAACGTCCAGACCGGCGTCCGTTGTGGAAAGTGTGAAAGATGAAGCCGACAAGTCCAAGGAAGCATCTCGGCGAGAGTCCCTGGTCGAAAGCGTTAAGGCGGAAAGCAGCAAGGGTGACCAATCTCCCCAGGCATCCCAGAAAGCATCGCGACCAGAGTCCGTGGCAGAGAGCGCTAAAGACGAAGCTGAAAGACCAGAAAGTCGTGCCGAATCTGTGGCCGAGAGTGATAAACCGGAAAGTGCTAAGGACGAGGAGTGGACAGCAGCCTCGAAGGAAGTTTCACGACCGGTGTCCGTCGCGGAGAGTGTAAAATCAGACGTCTCCCGACCGCAGTCGGTGGCAGAAGAGGTCATTGATGGCAAATCAAAGGAAGCTTCGCGCCGCGGATCCGTGACTGAGAGTGTAGAGGCTGCGAGTAAAAAGAGTGACTTGCCATCCGCCTCACCCAAGGAAGCATCGCAGGAGGCATCACGTCGCGAGTCAGTGGACGACAAGTCATCACATGTCATCATAAGTCCAGGCAAGTCGCCGGCTGCCTCGAAGGAAGCATCCCGTCCTGCTTCGGTGGCCGAGACCGCCTCCTCTCCCATCGAAGAAGGTCCACGCTCTGTCGCTGACTTGACTTTGCCACTAAGCCAAGTGACAACCGAAAGCAAAGGCAAGCTTCCCACTTTGTCGAGTCCCATTGATGTGGCTGAAGGCGACTTCTCGAAAGTAAAAGTTGAGTCCTCCGCACAGCCAGCTGCTCTCTCCAAACCCGCGGAGCTCTCCCAGTCGGATACGGGGCACACAGCCTCCAGCCCCGTGGACGAGGCATCTCCTATCCTGGAGGCCAGTGAGGTTGTGGAGGAGCATATCGCCGCATCAGCAGAAGCAGACTTACTGGGTATTGAGGAAACTAAATCGTCATTTTTCGAATCATTCGCCACAAAGGTGGATGAGAAAGTGCAGATGATTGAGAGCTCAGTAAAGCAGGTGGAAGAGAAGATCGAGAGTTCGGTGAAGCAGGTGGAAAGCACTGTAACAGAGACCCTGCAGCAGGTGAGCAAGGAGAGCAGGGAGCAACTGACAGAGATTAGCTCCGTTCTGGATACCAAGATCAGCAGCGTGACCAGCCTGCTCTCTACTGCCTTGGACACAGTCGAAAAGAAGGAGCACCAGGTGACCGAGAATGTGAGTGAGAAGGCAACCGAGCAGGTTACCGAGCAAATCACTATAGTCACTGCGGAAAGTGGTCAGGAGAAGAGCAGCCTGGATCTGGGTACGTTCTCGGAGCTGCGTGAGACGCACATCACCACCGTGGGCTCGCCCGAGTTCACGGTCACGATCTGCGAGCGCGATGAACCCGTACTGCACGACATCAAGGAGGAGGACGAGGAGCACCGCTCTTCGCCGCCCAGTGATGGCGACAAGACAGGAATCCTGCCAGCCCAGCCGATGCGACCGCTTTCGCCGCGCGAGGAAGAAGTGGCCAAAATTGTGGCAGACGTGGCCAAGGTTTTGAAGTCCGACAAGGACATCACCGACATTATACCCGACTTTGACGAACGCCAGCTGGAGGAGAAGCTCAAGTCCACCGCCGACACAGAGGAGGAGTGCGACAAGAGTGCACTGGAGATCTGCGTGAAGGCGGAGATCGAGTCCGAGAAGTCATCGCCCGACCAAAAGTCCGGCCCCATTTCCATCGAGGAGAAGGACAAGGTCGAGCAGTCGGAGAAGGCGCAGTTACGGCAGGGAGTATCTGCTGTCAGTCGCCCGGAGTCAGTGGCCAGCCAACCAGGGGAGGAGGAGGGCCAGACCAAGGAGCAGTCATCCCCCGTTCCAAGCAAGGAAGGATCACGACGCGAGTCCGTGCTCTCCTCCAAGAGCCACAAGAATCAGGAATCATCGCGCCCCCAGTCCGTTGCCAGCCAGGATATCGACATGGACATCAAGATCTCCAGCCAAGCATCTAGCACTAAGAAAGAGCTTCTTCACTCACTAACCACTGAAACTGTGGAGAGCAAAAAGTCAGAGGAGAAGTCGAGTGTGGAGTCCGAATCCACTTCGATAACCAAGTCCACCACAATCCTCTCCAGTCAGTCGGTGCAGCTGCGAGAGGATTCCACTAGCGACTCGTTGAGCAGCAGCCTCAAGGTGGAGGACAGCTCCCGGCGCGAATCACTCTCCAGTTTGCTGGCCGAGAAGGGAGGCATCAGTAGCAGCAGCCTTTTAAAGGAGGACATCAGCACCGCATCAGCATCCCAGCTCGAGGAGCTGCTGGTGCAGTCCGAGGAGTGCTCATCGGAGTCGATTGTCAGCGAGATTCAGACCAGCACCGCTCAGACCAGCAAGTCGGTTAGGGAAACCAAAGAGACCAGGGATACCAAGGAAACCAGCACCAGCAGTTTCAGCAAAGACGAGAACCTCAAGGAGACGGTCGCCGAGTTTCTGGCTACCGAGAAGATCGTCTCCGCAAAGGAAACCTTCAGCGCCGAGGCCACCAAGACGGCCGAGGAGTGCCTGAAGAAGGCCACCGCCAGCAGCACCCAGCGGACGCTCTTCGTGGGCACGGACGAGTCGCGTCGGGAGTCCTTGCTGAGCCAGACCAGCGAGGGCCGCCTCACCCACAGCGATCCCGAGGACGAGGAGCCCGACGAGGAAGACGACGAGCGCGCCAGTGTGAAAGAGGGCCGTTCCAAGTCCATTGCTACCATCATGATGACTAGTATTTACAAGCCTTCCGAAGACATAGAGTCAATTGCCACGCTCGCCGAGGAGGAGCACGATCAAATGGAGGACACTAAGGCCACCTCCACCTCCACCACCACCAGCAAGGCCACTACTCTCCTGCAGTCCAGTGAGCAGAGCAGCAGCAGCACCACCACCAGCAGCAGCTCCAAGACCTTCGCCTCCAAGGTGGAGTCCATCACGCTCACACAAATCGATCAGATCCCGGTTGAGCCCGCAGATCGCAAGACGCCGCCCACGGCGCCCGTCAGTCCCGGCGCCAAGCCATCAAGCTCGTCGGGATCTGCTGGTGGCTCTGCAATGGGAGCTGGAGCCGGAGCAGGTGGCGGAAAGTGCGAGTCCAGCGCAGCCAGCATCGTCTCCTCCTCGGGACCGCTGTCGCCCAAGGATATCAGCGGCAAATCCAGTCCCGGCGCCCTCACCTCGGAGAGCCAGTCCATTCCCACGCCGCTGGGGCGCGAGTCGCACACAGAGACCCCGGAGTCATCGCCCAAGCCCACGTCGCCATTCCCGCGCGTCACCAAGGACGAGCTGAAGTCTCTGGAAATTCAGGTGGGTCACAACAGAAAGTTGTAATTATAGTATTACACCCTTTACCCTAAGAGTGAAGGGGTATAATAAATTCGTTGAAAAGAATGTTAAGCACGCCATCCAAATGCGAATTTTTTCGATGAACATGTTCGGTTCGGTCTTAACTTATTATATATTGCCTGCAAAAGCAAGTGATATACCAACAAAATTAAATAAATTAATTGAATTCGACTGTGAATAGCCCGCTCTACACAGGTAGAAGATTCAAAAGCCGAGTCGATCTAGCCAATTTCCTCTATCCGTTCGTGTGAAACTATAAATTCCAGAGATTTGCCCAGTTCTTTGTGTTTGTTTATTTGATCAATATCTAGCGAAACACACAAAACTGTTTCAAATCGAACTAATATCTTGGTAGTTAACATATTAACATAAATTTAAATGTTTGCTGGATCTTAGTTTGCAGTAGTGACTCTGCAGATGGCACCACCTACAACTTAATTGTTTGCTGGGACCGTATTTATTTTTAAATTGGTTAGCTTAGTGAAAAAAGTTGATTTAAGGAATTTCCTTATTTCACTCCATACAGCAACACGAACAGGAGCAGATGCTAGCAGAAGCAGGAGCAGTTGCGGCCGGAGCTGAATGTGAGGTGGAACTGCCCGAGCTTCACGAGCTGCGTGGACTCGAGAGCACCACGGCTCTGAGCGGCAGCACAGAGAAAATAATCACCACAACCATCACCACGGTGACCAAGGTGATCTCGGCGGACGGGAAGGAGATAGTGACCGAGCAGAAGACGGTGACCACCACGGACAGCTCGGAGCCGGACAGCGAGAAGGTGGTGGTGACCACCACGCGCACCACCAGCGAGAGCGAGCGCGACCAGCTGCTGCCCAAGGAGGTGGCCCTGCTGCGCGGCATGCACCGCTCCAGCACTCCTGGCAGCGAGGACGACGAGGAACTGCTGCTGGGATCCCCGCGCAGCGCCACCAGCTACGAGCTGCAGCTCTCCAGCTCCGGCGTGAGCAAGCGCTCCGACCTGGACGCCGACGGAGAGGGTGAGGGAGACGGAGACGAGAGCCAGGACGACATTCCGCCGCAGTACGGCAGCGAGGAGCACTCGACGGCGCGCTCGATCCTGCTGCCGCGCACGGTCGACCCCATGGCCACCTCCTTCTACGGTGCCCTGCCCGACAGCTTCGACACGGCGGTGCTGAAGCCCAGCACCGAGCCCATTCCCATCCTGGGCGCCGCCCCGTCCGGCGATAGCCAGTCGTCGGAGAGCGTGGAGAGCACCAGCCAGACCTGGGCCGGCCACAAGTTCCTCGATCAGGCCGACAAGGACTTCCAGCGGGCGCTCGAGGAGCACGTGCAGGCGCGCGGCGCCGAGGTCATGTCTTCCGTCACCGCCAAGTACTCGTACTCGCCCTCGAAGGCCGAGGAGATGGAGCAGATCGTGAGCAGCACAGCGGAGCGGCAGCGCTTCCCGCTGAGCGATGTCCAGCGCTCCCGTGTGGCAGAGAGTGGCTTTGCCACCGTGGGCAGTAAGCCGGAGGAAGCCGCCACCGTCGCCGCCACCACTACTGTAGCCACTACCACATCCACAACGAGTTCCACTGGAGCCCTGCCCAAGGACCGTCTGGAGGAGTGGGGCAAGCCCTTGGGCCTGCCATCGCCAGCACCTCTGCCCGTAGAGGGCGGGGCCGACATCCGCACCACGCCCAAGAAGGAGCGCCGCCTGGTGGCCACCAAAACGCGCCTGAACAACGAGAAGAATCTGCGCAAGCGCAGCGAATCGCCCAACAAGGCGGCCAAGAAGCCGGCGCCCGTCTACGTGGACCTCACATACGTCCCGCACAACGGCAACTCCTACTACGCCCACGTGGACTTCTTCAAGCGGGTGCGAGCCCGTTACTACGTCTTCTCCGGCACGGAGCCCAGTCGCCAGGTGTACGATGCGCTGCTGGAGGCCAAACAGACCTGGGAGGACAAGGAGTTGGGTGAGTAGATCTGCAGGCCTTGCTCTTTAGTGCCGGGCACTCAAATCTTTTTACTTGATCTACAGAGGTCACCATCATACCCACGTACGACACCGATGTACTGGGCTACTGGGTGGCCGAAAACGAGGAGCTGCTAGCCAAGCACCGCATCGACCTCTCGCCGTCCGCCTCCCGCTGCACCATCAACCTGCAGGACCACGAAACCTCGTGCTCCGCCTACCGCCTGGAGTTCTAGGCCACGGGCTTGTTTATTACATTCGACGATGACTAAGCCAGCCCATAACCGTAACGCACCCAACCAAAGCAGCAGATAAGGAGCAGGAGAAGGAGTGGAGCACTGCCAGAGGATCGAGTCCATGTGGGCTTACAAAGTGCTTGGACTCGGACTCTGGATGAGGATGAGGATGAGGACGGGGATGACGACCACAGCAACAGGATGAGAATGACTATGAAGACAATGCAATATGGCTAGAAATAAAGCGGACGCAGGCTGATATGGCGGAGTATGGGTCACGCGAATGACGCCACTTTGTTTGTCAATGCCGCCTATTGAGCTTTCGCCGCCGACTTATTTCTGCCAACCAAAAGCTACGTAATTAATTGATATTTAGTTTCAACCGATTAATTACCAAACAGTGCAATGCAGTGGACTGTTCGCGAAGAAGAATACACTTATTTATTGCTTTCATTGAATAACGTCAAGCTACCTTGCCTAGTAATCCAAAGATCAAAATAGTTTTCAAAACCGCATAGCTAAAATATACAAAGGAAAAACAAAACAAAATGTCAAATGACAAACGACAAATGACAAAGCAAGAAAGCATGAGAAGACACACTATATATTTAAAGAAATTAATATTCATGTTTAACGTATTAATCGAATCTTTAACGAACCCTCGCATACCAGAGGTATTCGAGTTTTAAGGCGAGATTAACTAACTGCAAGTGTAAGGCCTGCAAAGTACGAGCGCTATGTAGCCCTAGGATCATAAGCGACTAAACTTAATCAAATGTTGAAGGCTAGCAAGCGACTTAAATTACGATTTACATTAACATTAACAAGAACCCTTCACCCAAGCAAACCGATAAATAACCCTGATAATGTGCCTCCCCCGAGATATTGCTATTTCCAATCGTTTTCGTAGTCCATCCTCACAGTTTCGTTTTGTTTGAGATTGCGTTTGGTTCCGTTGTTACAGCAGGCAGCCGCAGAAAGACTTGAAATCCGAGCAGCTATAGCTATAGCAACCGATATACGTACACTTCCACTTCCACATAGGGGAGCTCTAAGAAAAGGATTGAACTGAAACTGAGAAATGGGAACAGGAAACTGGGAGGGGTAGTCTTGAGAACACGTTTAAGATATGACGCTGTTGCTGAAGGATCGCAGATGAATGATAAGGAGGTGTTGGACGAAAGGACGACGACGAATGCTGATTTTACAATATAGGGATAACAAGGGTTAGGATGGTAGCGGGGTGGGACTAGCTTAGTTTGGAAGCTTAGGTTGGGTGGGTTGGGGTGGAATGGTTCAAACACTGAAACAGCTATTGTGAGACAAATACGAGGATGAGCAGAGAGTCATAACTAAATACGATTAAATATGAAGTACACAAAGTGAATGAAGGTTATTTTTCTATATTTTTTTTACTTTTTCATAGTCATAGAATAACAAATTTGCAACAAACAAACAAACAAGATAAATATGCAGCAAAAGCAGGAGAAGCAGGCAATTTTAATCAATGTAACCACAAGGTAACCACAAAACGGAACAAGCAATTCGAGGCCACAGCAAAACAGTCCAAAAGAGCCAGTTACAATTATAAATTATAGACACTCGAGACAGACTTTTTAGGCTACGCGTATATTTTTGAGTTGCTTTTTATATACACAACAGCAACAGATCCGGGAGGAGCTGCAGTATGCAACATGCAATATGCAGTATGCAATATGCAGTATGCAATATGCAGTATGCAACATGCAATATACAGCATGCAATATGCAACAGGCAGGCAGCAACAGAAAACAGTCAACTGGCTACCGTCCAGTCTACAACCGTTTGATAAGCAACCAGCAAAATTTAAGCAAAATTATACACACGTAGGGCTAAGAGGGGCGGGGGATACGATAAGGTTTATTGGGCCTTATGATCGCAATCCCAATCCCAATCGCAATCCAAAATCGCGTTCCCCGTCCGACCAGCAGCACATGGGATTGGGCTTTTGAATGCCAATACCGATCATGCGTCTTTCGATTATTGAGTAGCATTGCAGTCTCCGCTTCAAGGATTTTAAATTTATAACCGAGAAAAAACAAAAGATGACATTTACTAAATATTCATTTCTTTCCAAATTCGTGCGCTAAGCGAAACAAAACATAAACTAAACCGAAGTAGGTAAAGATAAAGAATACTCACACATGAACTATATACACTATATATATATATATATATATATGTACTTGAGCGTATTGATGTTGCTTAAAACGAAATCCCAAAAAAAAAGAACTCTTCTCCCAGCCAGAAGACATTTTTTGCCTTTCACAAAACGAATTTTCCCTAAGATATGAAAACATGAAAATTAAAACAAAAACTTGTTAACTTTTCCCCCGTTCGTTTGCGACTTAAGTTTCGTCGAAATCAGATCAATCAGATCAGACTATACACTACCCACACAAATTACACATGTATCCATTGCCTTATATCCAGAGAACAAACAGATATCTGCATCATACCTTATATTAGTGTAAGAATCAAATACGATATGTACGACCTATGAGAGTTTGTTTGTTGAATTTGCTTTTACTTTTTAGCAGCTTCGATTTAAATCAAATATACACTAAATGTACACACCCCCGCGCACACACGCACATGCACACGCACACGAGTGTGTGGCGAGTGTCTGTGTCTGTGTGTGCGTGTGTGAGAGTGTGTGTGCTCTATATAATCATTAGTACAGCAAGTGCATGCAGAAAGTAAAATTGTTATAAACAAGAGTCGAGACGAGCCGAGCCGAAGTATCGCTGACTGGCGGATGCGGATATAGCCATAGCTAAAGCCACGGAATGACTAGTCAGGATCAGGAGTCGAGTCGAGGAGAAGGTAGACAGGGATAGAGCGGGCCAGCACAAAGATCCGATCACAGGCAGAGGTTAGCGCGAAGAAATATATATGTATTACATTTTATGAAACGTCAAGCTTATCTCAAGAACTATTTCCAAAACAAAATCTGAAATTATAATAAACGTATTTATGTGAAGCTCGGGTGCGTTTTACTCTCCTTCGCGGTCCCGGTCTCAATCCCCCAGTTGCAGGTTCCCGTCTCCATCCAGTTTTTACCTGGCTAATTTCAGAAGAGACCCACCTTGGAATGCTTGATTGATGACCTGACATCGAACCGGTGGCCTAATTGATAGTGATAGATGGCCACTTAGCAAATCCGGCATTCGAACCCATTTGGTCAAGAACCCGTCCACAAGCAGTCGTCAAAAGTCGGTGTTCGGATTAGCTGTCCTGTAATCATTTGGTCCCGGATGACAAAAGCACAAAAGTGGTAAGTTTGTTGTATCCGCTTTTGGTAATTTATTTATTGTTTATTTTTATTAATTTTTTTTAAGTTTTCCGTATCTGCTGAAAAGTGGTAAGTAAGGTGTATCTCCTTTGGGTAGTTGATAAATTGTTGTTGTATTTATTAATTTCTTGGATATATTTATATTTGCACTTACTTAATCTTAACTTCCGGAATCCACTGACGTAATGGCAGCGCTAATTTTGTAATTCAGTGAATATGTCTAAGTAGAAGTCCTTATTTCTCTGATACATTCATCTAGGTTCGAACCGCGTGTATATTTGTTTGCTATGTTTTCTCCTTAAATTTTGCTTTATCAACTTTGTGTTGTCGAATCCTAAAACCATTCAGTTCGCCTGGAACACTAGACTGCCGAAAAAAAAAGTTATCCATGATTAGTCGAACCAAAAGTTAGATGGGCACTTGACTAATGGAACAGAGTAATGATAAGCTAATCTAATTGATATCTAGCCCCTCCCAGATACCGACACCAAGCTACACACGCGGCAGACAGCAGCTGGAACTCGGCATGGACACGCTGAGGGCTCTGGAGCTGGTGCACCGCGTCTGCCAAGTGTGCAACCTGTGGCCATGGCGCCTCGCCGCCCCGCCGGATACGGAGGGCCTCCTGCTCCGCCGGTCGCGCTGGCTGGAGCTCTACGGCTGGACTGTGCTGACGGTGGCCAGTGGTTTTACCGCCTACGGTCTCTTTCAGGAGAGCAGCGGCCAGAAGCAGCAACAGCAGGAACAAGAGGAGGAGGAGGGCGCCGAGACTACTATCACGAGCATTGGTCACACGGTGGACTTCATCCAGCTGGTGGGCATGCGGGTGGCACACCTGGCTGCCCTGCTGGAGGCACTGTGGCAGCGGCAGGCGCAGCGGGAATTCTTCGTGGAGCTGGACGAGATCGATCGGCAATTGTCCAAGGCCCTGAGGGTGGACGTGGCGGCCGGTCGCCTCCTGATGCGCCGACAAACGACACGTTGGGCCGTATGGATCCTGTGGGGCTATGTGGTCAGCCAGAGCCTCATCCTGGGCGCCAAACTGCTCGCTCCGGGCCACCGTTTCCCGATCTACTGGATCTACTACCTGTTGCCGCTGCTCGTGTGTGGCCTTCGCTATTTTCAAATCTTCACCGCTGTCCAGATCGTGCGCCAGCGCCTGGACGTGATCCTGGTGGCCCTGCAGCACCTCCAGCTGCAACAGAAAAGCCCCGGGCTGGAACCTGTGCCCGAGGAGCAGGCCGAACTCGAGCAGGTGGCCATGGACCGGCTGGTGGCCGTGAGGCTAGTATACCAACGGGTGTGGGCTCTGGTGGCCTTGCTGAACCGCTGCTACGGAATCTCGATGCTGATGCAGGTGGGCAACGACTTTTTGGCCATCACCTCCAACTGTTACTGGATGTTCCTCAACTTTCGGCAGTCGGCGGCCTCCCCCTTCGACATCCTGCAGATCGTGGCCAGCGCTGTGTGGTCGGCACCCCATCTGGGCAACGTGCTTGTCCTCTCGCTGCTCTGCGACCGAACGGCCCAGTGTGTGAGTAGGAAGGATCAGATCCGGGACTAATACCCGTCACTCGTAGAGTAAAAGATTACACAAGTGATTTAGGCTCTATAAAGTTTATATATTCTTGTCATGTCCGCATGTCTGTCTGTCCGTCCGTATGAACGTCTTAACCTCGGGATGTTTATTTTGAAATTTTTAAGCTTTATCTAATTGTCGGGGCACTCGACAATAACGTGCCTTGGTCTTTCTAACTCTTTCTATCTCCTTTCCAGGCCACTCGCCTGGCCCTGTGCTTGCATCAGGTAAACGTGGATCTGGGGAATGAGTGCCACAACGCTCTGGTAGGTAATTAAGTTGACCAAGAAAGATTCCCATTAATAGTCCCCGATTCCCCAGATAACCCAGTTCTCGCTGCAGCTGCTCCACCAGCGGCTCCACTTCAGCGCCGCTGGCTTCTTCAACGTGGACTGCACGCTTCTCTACACGGTGAGTGCGAAATCCGAATAGAATCCAGTAAAGTCGCTAAAGCCCAGCATTTTGCAGATTGTGGGTGCCACAACCACGTACTTGATTATCCTGATCCAGTTCCACATGAGCGAGTCCACCATGGGCAGCAGATCAACTGGAGAATAACCACCGAGAAGCAGAAGTGGCAGCTGAATGATCCAAACACCATGCACGAACATAATCCAGTTTTATCTAAATGCAAAAATATTGTATTCCTATCTATGATGCTTAATGTAAACGCCAATTTATAAGCAGCAGCAGTGTCGCACAAACTCTACCTCTAGAAAATTGATTCAGATAAAAATTTTTGTTGAGCGGATTAAGAAAGAAGTGATAAGAACCTCCACCTCATGTCCCCAGCAGTTCAAAACAGCCAGCCTTTGGCTTAGGGTCGCATATGAGCCGAGATATCCTGCAAAAATACTTTCAAAGAATATTGCTTAAAAAAGTGTTTTTGCAGGCTAACTCACTTAAAACAGGACGCCCATAAAAACAGAGTTACTGTTTCGTACTCCTGAGGACCCAAGCCAGCGAACCCAATCACTTTTTTCCCGATCGCGATCAATCAATTTGTACTCCAAAAAGAGATTTTTATTTTTTTTGCTGGAAAAAAAAATAACATGTTTGAATGCCAATCGATGGGGAATCTTTCTACGAGTTCAACGGGGTACGACACTCCATACTAAGGCCACGTTATCCCTGTGTTTTAGCCAAAACAAAGATCGCAGTTGCAACATCCTATTCAAGAAAATTGTTGCATACTTTTGGGTAGCAGATCATTGTGCTCACTGACATTGCAGCTACCTACCAACATTTCTGTTCGCCTGGTGTCTGAACCCGACAAATCTTCCAAATTGACCGACAAAATGGTGCCCAGATTGAACAAGAAGCCGGACTTGATCGTTTTATAGCTCATTTTTCGATCATTTTACACCAGGCAAACATGAAGTCCAGTAGGTGACTACTAGGTTTCAGCTGGCGCACATAATCCGTAGCAAGTAACTGCGGATAATTTTAGGCAGCCTCGAACAACGGTTGTTCTTTTCATAATGGTTGTCAATCGCATATTTCCCCTCAGCGATTGGCCAATAGAAAGAAAGCTCACTGGAAAAGAACCGTTGCTTCTGACACAAGTGCAGCATAGAGATGGGGAACCACGTTGTTTCTTTGTGTGTGTCACGGGTTCGACACGCCAGCCACGAAAAATCACGAGTGCCCCTTATATTTGTTGTTGGAGCAACGAAATAAATTTTCACGCGCCCATCCCTAATGAAACGAAAAAATTAAACTTTGGCTACCTGCTAATGGTTTCTGTTCGCCTGGTGTTTGAAATCAGAAATCATCAGTTCATAGATAAAATTCATCACCAAATTCATGTCTCTCAATCAAATTCAAATCTTTCTGGATTTCAAACACCAGGCCAACATAATCCGCAGCAAGTAGCATCTAGTAATTTTAGACAACAGCAATAACGGTTGTTTTTTTTAAAATGGCCGCCATAAATATGATTGCCCTAAGTGATTGACCAATAGGAAGCTAGTTGTCTGGAAAAACAACCGTTGCATCGGAGCCAGCCGCTGCCTAGAGATGGGCAACAACGTTGTTTCTTTGTGCGTGTCACGAATTTGGCACGATAGGCACGAAAAATTAATCAATTCGCTTGTATTTGAATGGGGCTTGCCGAAAATGTGTAAGCACGTGACCATCTCTAAAAAAGCCTTGATCTAAGTTATCAGCTGATCGTTTTACACTCGCTAGACGTTTATGGTCGCCTGGTAACTCATATGCAGAAATCTTTGAATTTGTTGTTGCAACGCCTTTATTTTATACCCTCGCACTGAAATTTTATATAAAATGTTCGTAAACTTTTTTTGCCCATTGTACATTTAATAATAATATATACAACTGTTTTTATGATTTCGAGGTGGGCTTTCTTTCTTGGTGTATGAAATCCCGGCTTGAGCAATGGATGATCCTACGCGATAAAGGCCAAGAAGTGGTCACCTACGCCTTGAGGTGCTGTAGGTGAAGAGCGGTGCCCGCTGCTCGGGAACGATGCAGAATGCGACGCGCCGACATGGCCCGCACCTCCTCCAGGTGATACTCCTCCAGCCACTTCTGCATCGCCGGCAGAACCGAGCTGCTGGCCAATGCGAGCAATGGCCATTCAGAGCTGCTGATGTAGTGCATCCCGGTGGTCGTACTCCTCGAAGCTGTCCAGCGTATTTGAGTGCTACAGGGCCTCCAGCAGCGAGCGCCACACCAGCGGAAAGTGGGCGGCCAGATCCTGACGCTGCTCCAGGGCTCGGCAGTGCGAATTGGTGTCCTGCCCCCCGCGGTGCCGTCGAGGACGCGCCAGTAGCCGTAGAACGAGCAAATGCAAGGCGGATATCCTCACCTTAGCCTGCAGTTGTCGCAAGTGCTTCATTCGGGCCGGCTGTTTGGAATCGGAGGGCTACTCATATCCGCCCGAGTCCCCAGTCAGGCAACCGTAGTCTTGGTTGCCCACCAGCAGCAGGCGCTCCCGGGAATTGGCAGCCCCCTCACTGACCACGTCCTGATTCCGTGGCTTGGCCAGCGATCGCAACTTGCGCACCTTGTTCTTGCGGCTGCAGAAGCGGGGCTTCTGAGCGGGTTGCTGCTGCTTCAGCTGCTCATGCTCCTAGCCAAAGGTGGA